GCAAGTAGACATTCCATTGTTTATGTGAACCAAACGTACCATTGAATAAGAGGATTCGACCAGGAGATGTCTCAATTACGTGAACTAGATTTAGCATTGACTTTGGATACTGCAAGTAGACATTCCATTTACATATAACAGACGTAGCATTGACTTAAAAAAAATGATTAATATACTTGCTCCGCTCAATATTGCAAGCATACAACTGCATTGCACACCTAGTTAACCATTTCCCATCATCTTTTCTACAGAGGGCTTTGGACCTCCAACGGCACTCCCTCACTAAAAAAAAAACATAACACTGACAATCATTTCATATTCCGAATCTGACAATTTAGATTTAGCACCCATTTTTAGCGATGTGACACTAGCTAAAATTGAAGACAGACTGAGGTGGATTACTGATGACATATTTGGGGTGGTAATACTTTGGGCCCTTTGGAAGAATCGAAGAATGCAAAACATGATATTTCCTGTGAGTCAGTCGTCAGTGACACACACTGTGTGAATCACCTTACGCTCGGTCAAAGTCCATCGTGGCAACACTGCACTGGATTCCTGAGCGGGCGATGGCGTCTGCACCCCTTGCAGGCGCGAGATCATCCAGTTTTTTGTTAATTTATATAAATAACATGCTTCACAATTTGGTTGAGCAGTATCAATATTTCAAATACTAAACCAATCACCTTCATAACAAGCTTTTCAATTTTTTCCTAGTGTTTGCCGTTTTTGAGAAAAAGTTAATTTACAAAAGTTACAACAAAAACTTTTTGGGTAGAGTAAAAATTCTGAAACACACAAATTTATTCATTATAGGTTAGTAAAAAGTGTGGAGACCCCCTGTTATTTTTTTAACGGCCCATACTAGAAAAACTAAACTTGGCACACCTTTTTGACATGTTATGAAGTACTTTTTGGGCATAACCGTCACTTGGTGTACATCCCCAAAATGGGGGATTTTGGGGGAAACTCAAAAATTTCAAATACAAAGACCCATCGAGTGACCCCTCATTTTGAAGGTCCTGGCAAAAGAAAATCAACAACGCAAACTAGAGGTCTTTATCCCAATCCAATAAAAAATGGAAGCCAATTGAAATTCTCTGAAGTTAAATTTAACTTACAGCTTTCCAAGTCTGGAGACCCGCTGTAAATTTTGTAGCGGCTCACACTAGGATAACTAAACTCTACACACCTTTTTGGCATGTTATGAAGTACTTTTTAAGCCTAATAGCCACTTACTTACCAAACCCAAAATGGGGGATTTTGGGGGAAACTCAAAAGTTTTAAATAATAAGCCCCATCGAGTGACCCCTCATTTTGAAGGTCCTGGTAAAAGAAAACTAACAATGTAAACTAGAGGTTTCTGTCTCAATCCAGTAAAAAAATGGAAGCTGATTGAAGTCTTTAGAAATCGGAAATAACTTGCAATTTTATATTTAATTGCCATATTTTACTGTGTTAAGATAGAGACCTATAGTTTGCATTGTTCGTTTTATTTTATTATGACCTTCAAAATGAGGGGTCACTCGATGGGGCTTATCATTTAAAGTTTTTGAGTTTCCCCCAACATCCCCCATTTTGGGTTTGGGAACTTATGAGAATTTCAATTAACTGCCATTTTGTACTGAACTGAGATGGAGACCTCTCATTTGCGTTATTGGTTTTCTTTTACTAGGACCTTCAAAATAAGGGGTCAATCGATGGGTCTTTGTATTTGAAATTTTTTAGTTTCCCCCAAATCCCCCCGTTTTGGGGATGAACACCAAGTGGTGGTTATGCCCAAAAAGTACTTCATAACATGCCATAATGGTGTGCCGAGTTTAGTTTTTCTAGTATGGGCCATTAAAAAATTAACAGGGGGTCTCCACACTTTTTTATAACCCCTGTATATGTGTCTAGATTGTATTAAAGTTTGATAAAGTTCTGACGTTTAGTTTACATTGTGCGAATTTTCAAAGTCATAAGATGGTTTTTGATACTCTAAAAACAGGGAGTTTTTACCTTCCGACTGTCATAAAATATTTCCTAAACGAGCTAAAAATTACTTGTCTTCACAGGAATACATACGTAGAATAAAACAACAAAAATTTATACATACAACGTGTTTTTCTAAGCTAGTATGGTTACTTTCTGTAGAGCTCCAAACTCGAGTGTCTAAACTTTTTTCCCTGACAGTAGGCTAACATACTAAAACATGATTGCTGTGGAAAAACATTATTAGATATTCAATTTGGACAGATTGGTTCAACTATAAATACACATAACATAAATTACACAGTACATTTACTTACATACATAGAAGACAAACAGACGGGACTAAAACATATTTTTACTATTACTACATTTGGGGTAAGACTTCGCGAAACGGTCAATTTTGACAAAACGTTTCTCGTGCAATGCCGGACGGTCACACTGAAATTTGATAATTCAATTCGTTAATTTTGTTTTCGTTCCTTCGCGAATCGATTCGTAAACACTCCAGCAATTCAGACAATTGTTGTTGTTCACACAATTGTGACACGTCATCCTCAGTCAACAGGATTACGTGAACAAGGTACACGACTTCCTTGAAAACAATAATATTGACATTCTCACTCAGGACCCGACGACCTCATTCTCCAAAGACATAAATAAATTGATCTCCTCCAGTACCAATCTTTTATCATCAGATGAAATAAAACATGTTAAGGTTACAAACCCTCAGGCTCCCGTCTTAAGAGGATTACCAAAGATTCATAAACCTAATGTACCAATTAGGCCCCTTGTCAATTTTAGGACATCCCCTGCATACAAGATCTCGCAAAAACTAGATAATATAATCAGGAGAGAAATAGTTCTTGAAAATGATTATAGCGTAAAAACACTGTAGACTTAGTTAACAAATTAACAAACATTGAATTAAAAGGATCATACATGCTCGCATCCTTCGATGTCGTTAATTTATACACCAACGTGCCTGTTAGAGAAACAATCCACATCCTAGAAACTAACTTACATAAAAATTCTTCTTTGTCGACAGTTGCTAAAAGAGAACTAATCAAATTAACAGAATGCATCTTAAATCAAAATTACTTCACATTCAATTTTACAAACAGAACGAAGGACTAACCATGGGCTGCCCTCTGTCAAGTATTTTATCAGAATTGTTTATGAACCACATAGAGAATGAATATTTATGGTCAGATTTGAACCGACATAGAGGAAAAATCATACACTACAGCCGTTATGTTGACGATACATTAGTTTTGTTCAATGGAAACCAGAGGCAGATCAACTTACTAGCCAACTATTTGAACACCGTCCACCGTAACATAACCTTCACACTAGAAACTGAGAACAATAAATCCATAAATTTCTTAGATGTATCAATAACCAGAACAGATAAAGGAATTGATTTTAATATTTACAGGACGCCAACAACGACGGATCAGACAATCCATTCATCCTCACACCACCCTCATAACCACAAAACACAGCAGCTTTCAACAGTTATGTTCACAGACTATTATCCATACCGTTGAGTAATGAAAACTATAGAAATGAAGTCGACACCTTAAAACACATAGCAGTAGCCAATGGTTACTACAGCTCGTTAATTGACAAATTGATAAGGAAGCACAACAACAAAACCAGACAAAGCAACGCAACAGATAACAAACAATATGTCAGCGCTGAATTTGGCACAGTCCTAAATAATACCCTAACTAAACAGATGGCCCGAAATAATATTACGATAGCCTACAAAGTTCTAATAAACTTTCCAACATCCTACAACAGACCAAGAACAATCCCCGTAGTAAAGTAAATGGTACGGGAATTTATAAAAACAAATGTGACAACTGCCCACGTTTTTATATCGGGCAAACTGCTCGTTCATTCAAAACCAGATTTAAAGAACATTTACCAAAAAGAAACAACAAATCCGCTTTTGCCGACCATCTCATTAACCACAACCATAACTACACTGACATAGAAACAAATTTGGAAGTCATGCATTTTTGCAACAACAAGAGGCGCTTGGATACCATAGAAGAATTTGAAATCTATAGAGCAGCTAGAGAACATCCTGACCATATCTTGAATGAGCAGCTGTCATTCAAATCAAATATTATTTATAACACCGCTATCCGCATCATGAACTCGACCAATCAGCGTAAGGGTCCTGATAAACAACAGGTGATGGGGAGGGAAGTGAATGTCTCCGATACCACCGTAACAACGCGCCAGTCATGACCTACACATTACCGGCGCCGCGTCGTGTGTTTGCGGTACTTGGCCAAGTGTTTGTAATATGTGTTTTTGTGTGAACTTCATGTACTTTATGTGTTTTTTGATGTGCTCAACCGCGGGCTAAATGAGTTTATTTTGTGTTTCTTCACTTTGAAGATGTGCTCATTGTAGCACGAAACAGCTGTCGTGTTTGACAACTATACAGGATCATTTTAGGCAAGGTAACATAAACCATATTCAGCTAATTTTAATGATCCAGAGGCTATCCATCATGAAATTACAATCTTATTTTATAAGTTAAAATATTTGTTATGATTGTTATTTTGTCACCAGCTTACCAACCCATAAGGTCCATGTGAATTTTTTTTTTAATTTTAAATTTATGTTTCATGCTTATTTTTGAGCCTATTTTAATTTATAAAGGGATTCTGCACATCTGGAAAATATCTTTCTAACAATATGCGTAGATTTTCCCTGCGATGTACATAAGCTAAGAAAAAAGGTTTTAAAGAAACATGCTTGCCTATTAATACATAGATAAATATTGCAATGGGGCGCTACTAATGGTTTTGCCTGGGCGCAGACAGGTTCAAAAACAGGCCTGATCTGATTTATTTTTATTTTTTTTAAAGAGAAAAAAAAAACAAAGAAACACCTATCATATTTTATGCAAAAATTATTCAAATAAAATCCAATCATTTAATACACTTGAATAATGTTACAAAAGATAAAACACAGAGGTTAATCTGAAATGGAAGTGTATGATTTACCTTGGAGCCATCTGACTTGAGTGGCAGGTCCATAACCCTTCTCATTCTTGGCTGCAATCCTGAAGATGATAGCGGGTTTGGTAGTCATGTCAATGTGAGCAGCAGCTAGAGACGTGTTCTGTACCACAGCCTGGTTCTGTGCCCCACAGTACACTCGCACAAATGCAAGCTGTGTTGGTGTACTGTTTACTGTTTTAGTGTCACCCTGTTAATCATTTCATTTGATAAAAATGTTTTTCTTTAATATAACCTCATTACCTTTAAGTAACTATTTATCTGTGAAATAGTCATAAAACTACACTTTTTAACTTTAGTAAGGTAAATTTAAATTTACTAAAGTTGTCTCTTGACAAACTTTTACTTTCGGTGTCTTTAATACAATTTATGAAAGGATTTATCATATATTAATATTTAAAACAATATTTGAAAGCCGTTTTTGTCAGGTCGCTAACTGTCCCCAAGACGTCATAGAGGAACTTAAAGCAGTTTATGGAATTTAAAAAATAAAAATAAATAAACTTTTATGCTGTACATACATTGTTTTGTGTCTTTATTAAGCCCTATTAAGTGTTTTACAATTACAGTCCACTTTTGGTAATTCAAACACTTGATAATTCAAAACTTTCAATAATTCAAAATGAAGGCTCAGTCCCTAGAGAATCTCTCAATATTTCAAATTTTTACCATGCATTTTGATACACTCTGTATTTCAAAGTCCAAATAGAGGGCAGGTCAATTTGTAACACGCAGTAATTCTAAGTTTCGTCGGAAAAACACTCTATAATTCGAAGTAACTCAGTAATTCGAAGTTTCGTCGGTTAACACTCTATAATTCGAAGTCATGCTGTAATTCGAAGTTTTGTCGAAAAAAACACTCTATAAATCAAAGTCACGCAGTAATTCGAAGTTTAGTCGGCAAAACACTCTATAGTTCGAAGTGATCTCTTCCTGTTATAACAGGAAACTATACAGTACAGTACATCCTGTTCCCATGGTAGGCTAGTGTTGGACGTTTTGATGTTTGTTTAGTTAGAGCAGTAGTCTGAGTTAGTTCGCTGACTTGTTTTTCTAAGTTGGCAATCCAATCTCTAGATTGCGCGACATCTCCTTGAGCACAAACGTAGTTGTCAACAGCTAGTTGTTGTTCAGCTATTGGCGAAATATATAGCGCTAAATAACAGATTTCTTTGCAACTACAGTAACTGAAAAATAAGCCGTTGATTGTTTAAAAGTGTACCTACTAAAATACGGTATGATGTTTTATTGTAACGTGCTGTACCTTTGTATGTATTAAAAAAATGAACTCTCTGTAATTCGAATGGTTTATTTTTCTACCGATAAATCGAACTCTTGATAATTCAAATTTATATGCTTGGTCCACCAATTTTGAATTATCAAGAGTCTACTGTACATCTATACTGAGATGTTTCAAAATTATCCTCATTGTTTACTTTTGAATTTGTATATAAGTTGTTTATAAACCATGTGTTATGTATCCAAACACCTAGGCCTACTATTAGCTAAATTAATACCTCTAAATTATCACATGTTTACATACAGTAAAAGGGCAAAAGGTTTCACCTGTTGTAAATTTCCATATTTCACATTCTCATCAAACACCATCTTTTATTATTTAATAAGCTGAAATTTGTAATCACTGGAAGTTATTTATACAGTTTGAATTATTTTATAAAATTATTCTTCTCTTTCACTTTTAAAAATATAATTAAAATACTCGATATAATACCAACCAATCATAAGTAACAGTGAAAAGTGAGTGACATCAAGAAACCAGTGATAACCAATTGTTGCAACAGATGTATGAAATTTAACAGGAAGATTTGTGAGTATTTCCATTAGTTAATAATCTTTTAGTTGACTCTTTTAAAACCATCGGAAATTATGACTGTTATTAGTTTTTAAACAAGTTATTTGTTTATAAATAACTCCTGTACTTCTTTGCAATTGCTCGATTTCGAGCAACATGTACACTAGTTTTAATTATATGATTGATTGCATTATTTAGGAAACAAGTCAGATGTTTATAAACATTGTTTTAAATTTTCAATGTAATTTACTATTTTTTTCAGACTTTTAAAAACGTTAGCGACCTGATGTTGTCTTTGTAGTTGATAAGACAAATATTCATAAAAAATAGAAAAACTTGCAATGAAGCTCTGCTATGGTTAGCAATGTATAATGTAACACTTAGTTTATTATTAATAAATAAATAAAAGTATGTATTTTAACCAAATAATATTTTTTATTTTTTCTGTTTTTATTTTCTCTCTCAATTTGAAATTCACCCATATATGGAAATATGGTTGAAAACATTATTTAACAATTAGTACTCATTTCATTTAGTTTTTTTATTTATTTTATAAGGTCTGCTCATTTAGCTTGCCTGAGAAAATTGAGTCCAGAAGTTAATAGATACACAGTAAAATACGGTAATACAAAATAAAACACTGATATTTCGTCCTGACCTACTATCTGAAGAAGTCCTAAATCAGAACAAAATATCAGTGTTGTGTTTTGTATTCTTTTATTGTGGACTCGTAAGCTCACATTTTTTCAGGTACCGATTAGCTAGCTGAACTCTATTCCTTTTAGAAAAATTCCTCTTCTTGTTATTTATTTCACACAGTATAGTACCTGTTGGTTGGTGGTGGCTTGTCTCACAGCCAGACAGACAGAGTATTCAATAATCTTGCCAGAAGAGGAGGAAGGTGGTTCCCAAGACAAGTGAGCTCCTTCAGCAGACTTGGATATCTTGATGGCAGATGGGGCTCCTGGGAACCCAGGCAGACAGGTCTTGAATGCAGATACCTATCAACAAATACATAACTTAACATGCGAGTGCGAGTAGTGCAAAAACAAGTGAACAAGTTAAACTACATAGTTAGTACAACAGGTATTCAACCAAACTTCAAAATTAAATTCACTGTCATATTTGCAAAATTGTTTTTGATAATGAAAAGGGTCAAGTCGAGGTTTAAATAGGGTATTCAGGAAAGACATTAGCAGTGGAAAATTCTCTTGGAAATTCCATACAATTTTCATTCTAGCTTTTCTCGCATGATTTTAATAACAATGGAATATTTTTGGGTTAAAAAACTTGCAGTATTATCGGTAACGCCATCACTGAAGAGTTTATATGCAATTAACTTACAATTCAGGATGTCACGGTGGTCCCAAATGAATCCAAAATGTTTATCAAATCCAAAGCATAGAACATGATTCCTTGAAATCAGGACTTTTTAAAGTTTTGACGATTCAAGAATAAGAATCCTTAACTATTTTAAAGTTTAACTGAAAAATCACAACTCAATCCAGATTTATCACGGTTGACCAAATTCAAGGCTCTTATGGTTTCATGGTTATGTGGATACCCTGCACAGCCCACTTAATACTAATTAAGGTGTAGGTCTTTGGGACACCTTAGTATGTTTTAACAAACCTAAAACAAAATATTTAGTTTTTTGCATATAGTATACATCTAGTGCTGTATGTGGAGTCTACCTCACTCCAAGGGCCTCTGCCACAGGTGTTGATGGCGGCTGCCCTGAACTTGTAAGCTGTCCCAGGCTCCAGGTCCAGTTTGAGAGCTCCTGTGTAGTCTGGCAGATTGTCTACAGTAATGTCAGGATGATCTGGATCCTCGAATGTCGAGGGGTCGTAGAAGCTCTTCACCAAAAATGAAGTACCTTTGATGATTCCCACATCACACCACACTGGTTCTCGTTTCAGTGGAACATCCTGTTATTTATCAGTATTAATACAACAGACACTCGGATGATACCATTATTGGTTCACTAAAACTTATGCAAAGTTTTATAGCCTAATTTAAATTTCATAAAAATGTTAAATGTGAGAAAATATAATTCTTCAGACTATTTCTAGTTAGTTGTGTTGTACTTCAGAAAATTAAGGGAGACTAGAGAAATAATTTTATTTACAATAAAACAAATCAAATGTATAAGATATGTAAAACATTAACCATTCCCAGACGAGCAATAGTATGCACACAGCCAGAAAAATTATTTTATTTAAATAAAAGATAAAAAAATCTTACTTTTTATAATGTTTATTCTGACTTTTTTGTTTATTTATTTTACTATTTTATTAAATTTCTTATTCTTTTAGAAAAACATTCCTAATACATCGGTGAGATATAATTGAATAAAAGTTTTTACAAAGATTAATGATGTTATAGACAATCAACTATAACAAAAACTGTCGTAATAATTGGCGGATATATATCTGCCTACTGTGTTTTGAATCTCGAAACTCGCCTATCGAATCTCGAAACCGAAACTTTTCCAATGTTTTGATGGTTTTGAGATTTGAGATTCGGTTTTGACATATCACTACTCTAAAATAACACAGAGATGTCTTTAATTTGGTAAGATTTGAAGAGAACAATGCTCAGTTTACCATATTGGGACTAAAAAAGTTATTAATAAGATGTAAAGTTGTTGAAATTTAAGTTTCACCAGTATATAAAAAAGTAAACAGCTCTTACAATTCTTAAAAAAAAAAATCATTGAATATTCCAGAAGAAATTTAATCATCTGAAGTGATGTTTAGTACAATAATAAATACTTAAAACCATACAACTACTTCCAAGTTTCTAATCCCCTTACCTATTTTTAAAAGATTTGCATAAGACTATATTATATTACCAATTGAGTTGAAGAATTTAAATAGATTCTAAATTAATTTTAGGCCATTATCATTATGTTTATGAGATGGGGACACCACCTAGGTACGTATTTTAACTAGGGGTCTCAATCCCAGGCCTTCAATCCAATCCCGGGATTTCGGGATTAGTCTCAACCAATCCCTGTTAATCAGCCAATTGATCCCAGGATTATATTATTTTATGATTTTAACTTTTCAGCCATTTGAACGTGAAGTCTCCTGGTTGAGTCCTCTAATGTTTTAAAACCTTACCAGTGTTACCATTGTGATTTTGCGGTTTTCTAAGTAAAGAATTACCACACGGAACTTCCATCACCTATCTTTCTTATTTACAGTGTATAATTGTTGATGTGTCTCTCTAGGATTTAGTAAATACATAAAAACCCCCGCCGCAGCAAACCTGCCAACAAAGCGAATTTCCATTTGTCTGAATTGATTTTCAATTAAATATATTTAAATAACATAAGGTTTAACGAGTACCTAGGTTTGCTATTACAAGGAAACTAATAACGTGTGGTTTTTAGTAAAGTATTAATTAATAGCTTAGTATAAAATAAATCAATTTGCCAAGTTTGGTCAAAATATATCCATAAACAAGCAAACTAAAACGTTTTACAATACACTCCATAATAATAACATGGGAATTTTAAATTTACAATTTTTTGAATTTTCTCCGTTACCAATAACTGTACAAAAACACTATGATATACTAAATTATTTTTTAAGGTCTTTAAAAAAGGCTTAGAGATAAATTGGGAAATTTTTTGTTTTGAGGGTCAAAAATGAGAAAACCCAATTTTTACCCCATAAAACCCTCCGTAAAACCCCGTTCCCATGGTCCAATCATCTGGTTCGCGAACTCATTCAAGTTTATCCTTACACCTTTAAACCAAATTTAATCAAAATCCAACAAGAATTACTCAAGTTGTTCACGGACACATACATATTTTCATATATAAAAATTAGAACGAATGGTGTTTTTGGGCTCTGGAGACATCAAAATGAAAAAGTAAACCAGTCCTGGGTCCTAGGTCTTACCATGAGACCTACGGTAATAGCTACTTCCCTATAGGGAAATTCGCTAAAAACACGAGCAACCGCACTCGGACGTAGCCTACACGTCATGCTGCTTCACTCAGCACTAAACTTGCCAAGATGCAAAGCTAGAAATTTGACTACTAAGAATAATATAAATCAAAATTAAAAGAAAAAAAGATAATATGGGAAGAATCACCAGTTGCTGCGTAAAATTGTCATGTTGACTGACAGCAATAAAACAATTTAAGGAACAAACAACAAACCATCTGCTTGTAGCGTGTGTACGAAAAATGTAGTTATTATCATAAAAAATTTAATCACCGCACTAAAAACCAAATACGAAGAAAACTAGAAAACTTATATACCCTATAAATTTAATCAATCTTAATAATAAAATAATAATGGTGTGCTTATAGGTTAATCTGTAGGCCTTCAATATTATTAGGAAAATAATACTTCAATTACCGATTGCCATGTTATGTTTGCCACATCGATTGCGTTGTTTGCGTTAATTGTCAAAAGGAAAACTCAAAAAAACTTACACTTTAATAAACTTATCGTAATTTAAGTAAACAGTATATGTGTTTCAAGTGCTATTGGAAGTATTTTTATTTATTTTTTGTAAGTAAAAGTCCTAAAATTCACAAAAAAGGTTAATACAAACATAGGTTTTGCAATCCCGTTAATCCAGGGATTAAAAGACACCAATCCCGGGATTTCTAGGTATCAAAAGGGATTGAGACCCCTAATTTTAACCCAAATATGAGTAAAGAATGTTGTTTAAAAATCAAGACAAAACTTGTATGGAATCATTTGATGTTATCACTATGACATCTTACCTCAACTTGCTTGATACCATTGGTCGCCTGGTCACAACCCAAGGCTGCAGACGCTAGGGTTACCAGTGCATCCGCTTCACCAACCTGGAATAGAGTAATACAGAATAGTTTTAACATTTTATACATACAAAATACTGTTTATATTGTAATGTACCTAAGTATAACTAACCTTAATCGTAGTAACTAGACTGTAATTGTAAAGAAAAAATTTTGTGATTGCTTTACTTCACTGAGAGTAATCAATAAATTGGAGATATTGGCATAAATAGTATTGTTGCGGGGCAATTTTTTTTATCCGAGCCGGTTCCAGCTCGGATCCGGCGGAGGTGGTACTCCGAAATCCGGATCCGACCATCACTACTATTTATTAACACTATATTCTTTAAAAACAGTAATTACAATAACCTAACTAAGCCTACCTAAAGCCGTGATATTCTAATTTACAATGCTTTTACTTACAGCTAACCTTTACAGGATTTATTACTATTTCTGCCACAACACTCACTACACTTTTACTGTCACTGTCACTAACACTGGTCACTCACATCGGCGTGCGGTCGCTTCACTGATCTCTGACTCAACTCGAGAGACCAGACTCAGACTTACTATACTGGCGTTTGTCGGAAGATGGTCCCTTGTATAGGTTTGCCAAAGAACCTTCTAGAGTAGAGAGTTCAAGTACACCAAGATAAAGCTGTTTTCAGACCGGCGTAGGACTGTAGAAGGTTCTGGACCCCTATTGCTGTAGTCCATTGACATGGGTTTATTGTCTGTCACTGGTGTTCGGGGAATCCCAATAGTGATGCGCGGTACATTTTAAACTTTCTCACCTCATTCGAGAAAGAGAAAGACAAAAGCAAAATTAAGTATGAATCACTATACATACAAACAATAACAAATAAAAGCCCTTTTTGGTTTGCTGAATGAAGGCTTAGCTGTTTGTCATGTAGCCATGTACTGTAGTCTCATCTATAAAAAAAAAATACATTCCACCCGTTAAGTTGAAATAGCAGTCTTGCACAATGTGCAGTGTTGCCATTTGTCACGGTGGTTACAGATCGAATGCAATATGATTCGTCGAAATCATTAGTAACTTAATCCAACATTTAACCATTGGAAATAAAAATATCAATAATTCAGCCACTGACTGGACTGGACTGAGTCAAACAGTTAAACTCAGTTAGAGTGAACTTGACTGAGTTTGCGGTTTGAGTCGTACATTCAGTGCTGTGCTGTTCTGCTGTTTATGTATTTGTTGCTTCTGCATTTCCATAGTTCGTACAAAACAAAGTCAAATAAAGAACTCTATGAATAAAATAAAATAATCTTGTGACTTGTAACTATTATTAATGTTACTACTAATCAACATCAGATAAGGAAAGGGTGGTTTTAAGGTAGTTGTAATAATCTATGTCTAATCTATGCCTGCCTTCTTTCTTACAGTTGAACTAACATATGTTTTATTAATTATTAAGATTTTTGTAAATAGTCCAAATAAATACACATCTTTGGTCAAGTCTATCATTTTTGTCTTGTCTGTCTTTAATATTTTTAACATTGGTGCCGAAACCCGACTAATAAATTATGTCAAGAAATATGTCCATACGAAAGTCAGGGAGAGAGAAACATCCTCCAAATAGATATTCCCCTGAAATTGTAAATGACAAGAATGAGGAACCCATAGAAAGAGATGGTCAACCTCCAAAACCCCCTTCTAAGTCAAAAACCACATCTTCAACTTCCAGCAAGCGCCGGTTAGTTCAACTGCAACTAGAAGAAATAGAAGAAATAAACAGGCTTGAGAAAATACATGAAGAAAGGGAGATGCAACGGCTGAAAGAATTTGAAGAAAAGGAGATGGAGCGACAGAGACAAGAGATGGAGCGACAGAGACAAGATATGGAGCGACAGAGACAAGATATGGAGCGTCAAATGCAGGAACAACAGAGGCGAAGAGAGGAGAGGGAAATGGAACGACAACGTCAAGCTGAAGCAAAAGAACTAGAACGACAGAAGCGTCTGCTGAGAGTAAGGACCGTACTTGAGTCTGCTTCGGTCTTGGGAAGTAGTCAGTCCGCCTCAGTCTTGGGCAGTCGTCATTTGGAATTGGAAGATAATGAAGACCCTGACAAGGTAAGCTTCAATATTGCTACTGTTGAGGAGGACTCTAATGTCAAAGTCAATAGGTGGCTGAATGAGGAACCGTCAGTTCCTTTGACATCATCAGCCATCGTGTCCACGGCTATTGATAAACTAGCAGACTCCTTTTCAAAAGCTATCAATTTATCTAACCCCAACCAACCTGTCTCTTGCTGACAGCGTCTTCCATCCTTCAGCGGGGAACCAGACGAGTGGCCCATGTTCTATTCCTGTTACAATAAGACTAAACACCTTTTTAATGACGATGAAAACCTTGACAGAATAAGAAATTGTCTGGAGGGAGATGCCTTTAAAATGGTAAAACCTCTATTTATATCAGGAAAAAATTTGAGTACAGTAATGAAAACTTTACAAATGCGTTTTGGACGTCCAGAGTTTATAGTAGAGTCAATGTTGAAAAAGGCGCGCATGCTCCAACCAGTCAAGGAGGATGACGCTGTCAGCCTTATTGAGTTTTCAACAACTCTTTTAAACCTGACCTCTACCGCAGAGTCGTTGGATTTGGAAATGTACTTAATAAATCCTCTCTTGCTGAATGAACTTTTAAGTAAGCTCCCATATACTCTAAAGTACAGGTGGGCTGAACATGTAAATAGCATGCATTTAGAAAAACCTACTGACCTGAAAGTATTCTGTAACTGGCTTGAAAATCAGTGTTCCATTATGAGTATTTATTTTCGTCCACCCAAGGAGACAACGCGGAAGAGATGTGACCCTAAACCAGTTTTTACTAATTCGCCCAATGAAAACGTTTGCATGTTTTGCTCGGAGGGTCATGAAACCGATAAATGTAAGCTTTTTAGAAAAGCAGAAGTCTTGCAGAGGTGGAAGATGATAATTGATAAAAAACTGTGTTTCTTTTGCTTCCGTCGTCACCACATCAAATTTTGCAATTTAAAGAAACCTTGTGGAATCAATGGGTGCAAACTATCCCACCATCGCCTTCTGCATACTCACAGTGCCACTAAAAATGCCCAAGAGATCAGCTGGGACAGAGTACAGAACACTTTCAGGCAGGAAGGTAAATCAAAAGAAGAATTTATAAGCAATCACTCGGTAAATAACCGTGTTTTACTAAGAGTATGTCCAGTGACATTATGGTCCAAGCTGTCAGATCGACACATATGCACTTTTAGATGACGGTTCAACCATATCTCTACTAGATTCAACTACAGCCAATAAATTAGGCGTCAGTGGTAGCATTGAACCCCTTACCACTTGTTGGTCAAATGCAACTAAACATTTTGACCCAACGTCCAGACGAGTTGAACTTAAAATAAAAGGGCTCTATGAAGACAAAGTTTTCACATTGACTAATGTAAGAACTCAATTTCCCTTAGATTTACCCCAACAGTCGATCGATTCAGTAAAGCTTCGTGAGACATGGTCTCATTAAAATTCAATCGACCAACCTCTACCAACATCTCATGCCAAACCTACCATCTTGATTGGTCAAGATAATTGCAACCTAATACTGACAAGGAAAGTTGTGGAAGGGCCTCCTAACTCGCCAGTTTTATCCTGGAGTTACTTAGGCTGGTCGTTGCATGGAAAATGTCCAGGATACAGTGGAGGACGTATCGATGACAACTTTGCTCTGACATGTTTTAAATATGATTAATTGTACAAAACAGCAGAAGAATCATTCAACTACGGAATCAACTATCATTCAAGAATCAACTACGGTGCAGAAAACATCTCCCAAGAGGAAAGGACTCAAAACAAAGATATGAAAATCAAAAAAGCACATTTAAACAGGGATCCAATAAAAGAAAAAGCGTTAGAGAAGGAATGCCAACCCCTGGAGGCTAAGAATATGATTCAAGACTCTGAGAAACATTCTGACATTCTCACCAGTGTCCAGACAGTCTAAGTAGTTGGAGAGAAAACGGAAGAGCCTGATAAAGAAAATGAGATAGGTCTAGTTGACGATGAGCTGATAGAAAATTCCAAAGTACTTGAAGTCTTGAAGGAAGCCATGCTGGAATCCAGTGTCAAAATCAAGAACAAGATCTTCGCGGTAACTGGCAAAAGGAAGAATGTGAAAACAGAAGACAAAAAACTTAAAGCCAAACCTCTATGGGAAATGAAGAAAACGGAGAACGATTCAGAGTTGAAAATTTGTGGTGGATGTGATGTGCAGTTTGACAATACCTCCTTCTACAGACACAAGAAGAAACGTGTGTGCTGGAAGGAGCACAAGAATAACGATGACAATCAAACAAACAAGTGTGCTCAGTGTGGCTGCAAGTTCCCATGTCTGATGGTCTTGTTTAAACACAACTGTAGTCGCTCACAGGAACCTACGATGCCACAATGGTGTCTTGAAGAGCAGATGGCGGAGGTGCTAAGAGACAGCGTGGAGGACAGTCCCAACTTGTCACCTATGAAAATATCCAGAGACGAGTCTGTGAGGAGAATGTCACTAGTGGACGATTCAGTCAGCCACGAGAGCTTTGACATCTCACAGTACCACAACAAGTCCAGCAGTGATAACCAGAGGAATAAGAAATATTCTGAAATATTCAAAGAAATCAAACATCAAAGAAGAAAACGTATGCTCAAAGTGAAAATCACTAAAGAACTGGTGAGTGCCAAATTTAGGCTTCGCAAGCCTCGGCCAAAAATTACTATTGCTCCAAAGAAAAAACTAATGAAAAGGAAAAAGAAACTAATTTTTGAAGCCCGGCCCACAACAACCCAAACAACGCACGCCCTAACGGTTCATATCCCTGTGATAACAAGAGATGTAAAACATGTGAAATAAATCAACCCAGCCAAACATTTTCCAGTTCCACAACCAAAGAAAACTACAACATCCGAGGCTTCAACACTTGTGAAACGAAGAACATTATCTACCAACTACAATGTAATAAATGTGATGCACAGTATGTAGGCCTATCCACCAATAGCCTCAGAACCAG